CCCCGCTCCCAGAAATAGGGTGGAAACAACCACAGCTCTGCGGATACGGGGGACAAGACCAGCATTTAAAGCCAGCCAGTGTTTGCCCTGCAGCAAGCGCCCCGGCTGAGCCAGGAAAGCACCTAACCTGAGCCCGGAGGAAGAGGAGGTATCACGAAGGCACGCGCTCACCGCTGACAGCTCTGCGCAGCCGTTGGGCTGAAGGAGAAGCTCCGGCTGTCAGGTCAAAAGCACCAAGCCTGCAATACAGGAAACGCTCCTATTTGCCTTAATTTGGTGCCACAAGCAGTCGTGCGAGGCCAGGGTGCCCGGGCTGGAGGGCTCAGGGCGATGGAGGTGGGGGACGGGGGACCGAGGTGTCGGGGTCCCCACGGGCTCCTCTCGACCTGCTCCCCTCCACCTGAAGCACAAGGGTTTGGCTGGGTTGGGTTGAATCTGGGCAGCTCCTGGGGTCACCAACAGCTCCCTGGGTGACAGCACGGTGACCCGGCATGGATGACTGAGCCCACCTTGCATTTTTCCAAGTGGTTTTTCTGGGGTTTATCAGGATGGAGGGGAGGAAGAGAGGGAAAGGCAGGAAAAAGGCCCAAAAGCAACAAACAGGAGGAAGAGGAGAAGCTCCCCGCATGGTTTCAGGCTGCATGAGCAGCCCCAACCCCCCTGGACCTCCTGAGCTGACCCAGGTCCATGTATCCCAAGGGAAGGTGGTGGGACAATGAAGCCAGAAGCCCCTCCGCTGGCTAGGAGGGGTTTGAGTTGCACGTGGGATTGGGGGGGGGGGGCAATATGGATGGTATTTTGGGTTGCAAAGCCCAGCAAGGAGGGAGGCGGCTGGGGGGAGCAGCACGATGCTGCCGAGCTCCTCCACGCTCCATGCTGGTCCCTCCATCCCCCACCGCAATGGCGCTGGGTCGCACCGAGCATCCACGGGTGGGTGTGGGGGGCTGCGGGCAGCCTGCAAAAATCAGGGATGGGTGGGGGGGGTGCAAAGGCGTCGGGGGCCGGGGGCCTGAAATCTTGAGAGCCAACAGAAAAATGAAGCAAAAGGGGAAGAGAAGAAAAGGGAAATGGAAAGAGTAAGAGGCTGGGGGCGACGGGGGGAGGAGAAGTGAAATCGGTGCCGGGAGCCCTGGGGGTGAAAGCAGAACTGCAGGGGCCACGGGACAGGCGCAGAAGAGCCGTGGGCAGGCCCCCATGGGGTGTCCCCTCCTGGGCACCGCGCCAGGGGCCGCGCGGGCATCGGGGCTGTGTTCAGCGAGTTTCCCCTGCAGCGTGGAGGACAAGGCTCGGAGTACTTTTTGTTTTGCATGGTGAAATCTTACCCTCCCCTCCCGGCCCAGGGCTGTGGTTAGGGCTGTGTTCAGCCCCTCCAGGGTTTAAATCACAGCCCCCAATTTTCCTGCTGCTCCACTGACCCTGGAGGACAGAGCCGGGAGAGTTGGGGGGCAGCTGGAAAGGGGGTGCTGGCGTCTCCCTGGGCAGGGAGGAAAGGTTGATGGGGGCACAGTCGCACCTCTGCTCCGGTGCAAAGGGGACACGGGGGCGCAGTGGATGCCTGGTGCCGGGGACTCCCCCACCAGCTGCAATTTTTGCCCTTCCCCGGGTTATTTTTGCTACCCCTTTGACTCATAAGCAGAGCCCCTGCCGCAACTGCTTCCTTCGTTACCTCCATAACAAGCGGGGGTGATGTTACGAACGTGCCCGCAGGCTGTCAGCGCCCCATCTGCTCCTCTCCGGGGTGCCAGACCCCTGGCTCTGGCCAGCCCAGGTGCAGCAGCGGTGGGATTCTGAGCTTTGCCAAGTTCCCAGCGTGGCCCAAACACCCCTCTTCCCATCACCTGAAGGTGCCTGTTTTGGAGCCAGAGCTGGGGCAGGGGCCGGTTATAGCTCCCAGCAGCTCGGCGGGAGCTGGGGCCAGGTCCACTCCTGGAGGTCCCCTCCCTGTCGGTGGTGGCCCCGACGCAGCGGCTGTGGTCTTCTCCCCGCAGGGCAGCAAGGAGCGCTTCCACTGGCAGAGCCACAATGTCAAGCAGAGCGGCGTGGACGACATGGTCCTGCTCTCCAAGATCTCCGAGGAGGCCATCGTGGAGAACCTCAAGAAGCGTTTTATGGATGATTACATCTTTGTATCCTTCCTGGGGCAGCAGGACCAGGGCTGGGGAGAAGCAGGGCTGTGTTCCACGGCTTTGCCAGGGCACGAGCCAAACTGGGGCTGCCCCAACGCTTGCAGAGTGTCCCGTCCCCACACTGGGGTACAAGATTGGGTTTGGCTGTGGGAGTGCTGCCATTCCCAAGCTGAGTTGCACTCGGCAGAGACACAACAACCATGACCCCCATCCTGCCATGGCCTGGGGCCCAATTTGGTCCTTCCTTTGCAGCCACAAAGCCCTAAGCAAAGAGCATGGAGCAAAGCCCCTCATCCGCTGTCTCCCACTGCTCCTCACACTGAAGACCCGCCTGCCAGTGCCAAGGGGGCTGGACCCCAGTGGCAGGGGGGGTCCCCTGTTGCTGTCCCCCACCCCCCTGATGCCCGCAGCCGCCCTGCACCCACAGCAAATCCAAGCAAACCCTGGATGGAGCAGAAGCATCCCTGCAGACACGGCGAGGAGGTACCACTCCTCACTCTCCAACGGTGTCAAGCCACGGGGGACACCACGAAGGCAGCGCAGGGTGCAAAGCTCTAACCCTGCCCAGCATTGTCCCCACTGCCCCAGCCCCCAGCCCAGAGGCTCTTGCTGGCTCCCATCAGAGCTGACACCGCTGAGCACCACGCGCGAGGCTCGGCGGCTCTCGGGCTCCACGCTGCGGATGGGGAGGTGTCCCCATGCCCACGCTTTGAGGCGCCGAACCCTCGCCTTGCTCCCTGCCACCACCACCTGCTTGGGGACGGGGCCACCTCACCACCCTGGCACCGTCACGCACACCGCCTGCACCCCAGCTCCGGTGCGCGGCCGGCTCCGGTGGGGAAGAGGACAGGGAGCCGGGCACGGAGGGGTCCCGGGTGGCAGCCGGGCCGAGCACGGG